AAATCATCCAGCACATGTATCCAACAGCAATGTTCGCAGACTCACGAACATTTCCGTCGCTGCCACCCTCCCTCCGGCGCGTTCGATGAAGCATTGGTTTTGTGCCTGATCGTGGAAGTGCCTGATCGTGGAAGACCCCTTCAATGTGGAACGATTCTTAGCTAGTGTCGATAGTTTTCACTGCAGTGCCTACACATACGACCGGGAGAGATTCGGGTGATTGTCAATTGCTGCTATGATGACTTTGGTTGGTTGTTCTTTTTCACTATACGGCCGCAGACACATCCTGACAGCACTTCGGACAGCAGCTTTGTGCCCCGCCAGTTGCTTGTTCCATGCCTACCATGGTGTTTTTGTACAGACAGCACTACAGACAGCAGTATGCTGTAGTCGGCAATCTTCCGTTTTGGTATCGAGTGGGACAGGGAGGGGGTGATGCTACCACTGTAGTCGAACGGTGGGACGGACGTGCAGTTCAGTTTTTGGGCACGCATACATACATACGGTGCTGCAGGGATTTTTAGGTGTACCTCTTCGGGCTCTTGGATACCTTTTTCTCGTTATATGTGTGCGTGTTCTTTAGATCCTCAGATGGCTCTAGCACTTTCGTGACCACGGGCTGAGAGTCTTTGCTAGATTTTGGCATTTAGCAACTGACATAGGGTTCAAGGTGAAGACGACAACAACAACCACGGTCAGTTTTGTAGTTAGAAACGATACAACTTGGCCTCCAAAATCCAGTTTTTTTGTGAAGGTTAGGTTCTGTAGGGTACCCACAGATCTATACCGGGGGTAATTACCCTCTGTTTTACCCTACAGAACAATTCTGTGAGTTCTGTGCCCGTAGCGCCACAATACCCTACACTTCTGTGAGTTCTGTGACGGTTGCACCACAGTACCCTACACTTCTGTGAGTTCTGTAGCACACACGGTACCCCACAGAGATTACCCTCTTGTTCTGTATACAATACCCCAACACTTCTGTGGGTTCTGTGACGGTCGTGCCACAATACCCTACACTTCTGGGTGAGTTCTGTAGCACATCCCGTACCCCACAGAGATTACCCTCCTGTTCTGTGTGCCGGCGGCACAATTACCCGCGGTACGGGTAAACATTTGTGGAACTACCCTCCACATTTGTGATTACCCCGGGATGCTGACGTCAGTCCAACTTGAAGCGTACCCTCAAAAAACACCACACAACACACAGAGCAAGACCCTCCTTCAGCAGAGAAACAGAACACATCTGGTACATACAGCAGAACAAACACACCGTACGACACGCGGTATCGGGTTCAGCGGGAGCATGAGCGATGCAGACCTCGGCAAAGTTCACCGCAAAGTTCACCGGCGCGAGGGACGCTGACCTGAAGGCCGCTGAGGCCGCCTTCGACGTGGTGAACAACACCGCAAACGACATTGGCGTGTAGACTGACTGTCGGGGGGTGGGGTGGTCAGGAGAGACCCCTCTTCGCTTCTCGCTACTGCTGCTGTCGTGTTGGGAAAAAGTCGGATGGGAACGGAGTTTGCCCCTTGCCTGCTGGCGAGGAGTAGTCGTGGGGGCGCACCACGAAATCCTTTGCACTCAGGTTTTCAGTCTTGATCTTTTTTTCGTCGTGCAGGTTTTTCCCCCTCTGGGAAGTGGAGAGGGTAGAGGAAAACGTAACATAGTCTAAACGTGAAATGCTTTTTGTTTATGTTCATGTTTTTTTTTTAGCAGTAGTCCTCCGCTGTCACCTGGGAAGTTGAGGACTGGGATATATAGGGGCCGTACGCAAGCACGCTTCATGTTTTCAAGTCTTGGTTTAGTATCTTGAAACCGAGTCGAACGATTGCAAACAGCAGTGTGCAAATACAGAACCTCGCGCGGGTACCGAGGGTAATGACCGTCTGTAGTTACCCTACAGATACCCTACAGAGCCTACCCTGTGAGTTCTGTGACGGTTGCACCACAGTACCCTACACTTCTGTGAGTTCTGTAGCACACACGGTACCCCACAGAGATTACCCTCTTG